CAGCGTGTTTACACACACAGCACTTTATAGATATTATTGCTTTAGATGGTAGGAGCTGAGAACTGAAGAACTCTGCTCAAGGTCATACAGCAAGTCAAGGACAGAGCTGAAAAGAAAATGCAGGTGCCCCTGCATTCAGCTTGCCTGCTCACACAGAAGAAGACCACCACCACTCCTGTATGTCGTGGCACACAAATAATCTGGTATTTTATTGCCACCAATAGCTGCAATGCTTTCTCGTGTCCCATAATGAAGAAAAAGGAGATTGCAGGTTCTTGCAAAGGGTGTTGAGCTTCTCAAGCAGGGAGTTCTTACCTTTCAGTGCCAGGCATATGCAAGAAGGGACACACTGGTCCATCATCTAACGCAACCACTTCTGACGCCGCAAGCTACACAAGAGCGTGCTGCAAGCAGTGAGCTCCGAGCACATCCCGGTGTCTTGAAACAACTCGCTGCCTCCCCGCACCGCGTGAAAAGGGCTCCACAGCAGCTCCCCCAGGAACACACAATTTTTCTCAATCTTTGCCAAGTCCCCACCACTTTTCTGTTGTTAACGTTTCCCTTGGAAGAAAACAAACATTTTAAGATTTTGTTTCCAAATGGACTATTTTACCAAGCAATAAGAAAATAGAAGCTTTCTTTTCCACTCTGGGAAATATTTCTTCTGCATATCACTGCTGCTTTGACATAAATATATTGTTGTTGTACTAAATCAAAACCCAGTAAAGATGGTGATACAGCTCTAGCAAAAATTTTGCAGCTGCAGGGCAGCCAATCAGTGTTGCATTTCACCTCAGATGGGATTACCGTTTATCTCTCAAAAATGATAAAATTTGACCTGTTCAGTGATTAAACCCGTATCTATGGTAACTTTTTGAAACCTGAGCAAATATAAGTATCTGTTGGCTCATTCCGCAAGGGTCTCGTTAAGATGACATGAGTAAAATTCTAATTATGATTACCTTGCTTCTTCTCTTTGTGCTGAACTAGTTAAGAGTTAAAGAAAAAAAGGAGGTAGAAAAACAAATAAAACCAAATGTGATGAGAATGTGCCATTTGCAACATTCTCTCCACCTCTCAGCAAGTATCTATCACAGCAGAAGCAGCATATTTTAAAGTACCCAAACATTCAGGCTGGCACCTGGTGCACTCTATAGAGTGTGCAGCATATTAGAAGATTCATGTGGACAACTTGTCCATCTCCCTTTAAAAGAAAGTGATGCAATACATAAAAACTTCCATGCCTCTGTCAATAGGCTCACTCTCCACTGCTGGAGTGAATCCACCCCACCCATTTGTATGGAGCACATTTCATCATGATGATACTCCACACTGAAGAAAAGCGAAAACAGAAATGCCAGAGATGTAATTTTGTTAATGACTGTTAACATACATTAACATAAATCACTGCACATCAATGCCTGACGATTCCCTGAAAAGAAATTCAACACAGAATAGTATTAGACAAGTTTCAATTATTTTTTTCAGTAAAACTCATCAGTTGTTTCACATCTATGGAAATAATTGTTAAGGGTTCTCCTGGCTCCATGTGTGCCACAGTCTGGTGGCAATGCAGGTCAGGGCTGAGTGCAATAATGGTGTTCAGAACATAAATGATAGCTACACATTGCCATCACAATGCCTCTCCATTTAGAGGGCTCAGCTGCACATTTCACTAGTCTCCTGAACCTTATCTTCTTATTACACTAAATCTGTATCAAGCACAAAGAAAACAGGCAGAACATAACCAGTGTGACTCAATGCGCATTACTATTGTTTGCTTGATTGATAAACGCTTGATTCTGCATTTATAAGAACTCCTAACACTAGGGTTCACCGTCTCCTCTTGCTGGGAACTAGCAGATCTGTAAAGCAACTCAGAATTATGCTGCAGTACAAGCAGTATTTAATTAGAATCTGTGCTAACCATGACATTGCTAAGTAGGTAATCAGAAAATAAAACCAGAATTACTTCATTAAATGAGGAAACAAGTGTCTGTAAAATAATGAAGGAGTCCAAGCACACCTTCCCTCACTTTGAGGGCATGAAGCTGGCTCATCTCCCATGAGGGCAAAGATGCCATCCCATAGACGGACTGTTGTTAACAGAAGTTCTTCTATCATCAGGACCAAGAGTGACTGGAGGAAAGCCAAGGTTAAAAGGAGACCAACAGAAATAAAACAGCAGCAGCAGAGCTGAAAGAAGACTGGCACATCTTAAAGCAAGCAGACTGATTATCGTTATGCAGGAAACTGCACAGCCCACAGATCAGCCCTGGCAATAGCAAAGGTCACTCTTGCTGCATGCTGATGTCCCAGGGGTACTGCAGGCCTGCAGAGCAGATAAAGCATCAGTGCCTTCAGGGTATGCTTTAAGTGAAAGAAAGCAGGATGTTCAGCCGGGAAAAGTAAGTAAGAATATGCTTTCTGAAGGCAGGTGAGGAAGAAATAAAGAAAGAAGCATAAAAATGGGAAATAAAAGCTCACTAGGTATTCATACCAAAATATCACGGGCAACAGATTAAATCTTCAATCCTCCTCATTAAGCCACTGAAAGAACGAAGTCTTGTCCTCCTACATTTTAGCCGGCATGTGATGTACCCTACAGAAAACCTCTCCTTAAAGATATTGCATAAATATTTTTTTAACAGAAGAAACCAACGCTGACATCAAAGCCAGTGGCAGTGTAGTCAGCTTGAGGCTATGCAAAAGTCAGCAGTATCCTAGAATGACATGAATTTGAATGAACTCAGCTTCTATAGCTGTTACACTTTGCAAATAAGCCTTTCTGCAGACGTGAAATTCAAGCCTGGATTAGGGGAGAATTTACAATGTAAAATGTGACTATACTACTAACTTTTTTTTTTTAAGCATTGAGCTATACACAGAAAATGAAACTCTGAGTGATAATGAAACAGGAAGTGTCAGTATGAAGTATATGAGGCGGATGCCTTGTATAAAGCCAGGATAATCAGAGTGGCAGAGAAAGATCCGGTTCACAGGGGACTTGGTAACATCAGCCATAAACATGAATGAAAAGAATATAGAGGTGGCTTCAACAAAAAGATGTATGTATTGACAAAACCCGGGTCCTGTAATTACACAGGGTTATTTCTCCTGTATCTATGCTGAAAAATCACCTTGTCATCTTTATTAAGCTATTTCTCACCGAAATCCTCATTAAAATGACAGTCACAGAAATTCCACGTTACTCCAGCTAACGATACCACAGTTAGCTCCAATGGAGATCCTGGTATTAAACTACCCTTCACCATTCATCCTCCTAATTGAAATCTGTCATTCTAATAACTCCAGAGCACATTCAGCAGCTTCAGTATCAACTGCTATAATTTTGAGTCTGACATAGGGAGCATGGCATGGAAATAGGAGAGTTCAATTTTAAATTGACTAAAATAAAGTTTATTTTACTGTTACAATATATAATCTCTTATCAACACAACTCACAAAATGTTTACAAAATAATCTCATTTTCTGCTGCATTTTAAACACTAGTTTTATACAAACTTTTAAGGTAAAATAGGAATTTATAGCTAGAAATGTTTGTTACATTTTTAGAAGCATTACAAGAATTACTTCAAACAAGACTTTTTTTTTTTTTTCTTATAGTGTCATCTTCATAGACAAAACTGAACATGTATTGTAAAACCTGAGGAAGGATTCATGAAAGCTTTCTTTAGAACAAAGGATGCCAGTCCTCTTAGGCTGACAGTGAGCAAGAGTATTTGAGCCAACTTAGGTGCTCTTAAACACCTTACACAAAGGAATCTCCTCCCTTTCCC